TGGGTGCCTCTTGGAGCGTCTTGGGGGCCTGTTGGGGCCATCTTTGGGGCGATCGATCACAGATGGGGCGAGCATTTTTGTCAGTACCCCCGTCGGGGCCACGATCCTCGTGAGGGGTGTCGAATTTTAGCCCTCCCAGGGATAGAAAAAGGACCCTCTGACCACCCGCGAAACCCCCTTTCCAGGTCCAGGGGGAGGGGGTAGGGGCAGGGGTAAACCCCTCCCCGAAGGGGAAGAAGGGGGGTTGAGAACAGAGAGAGCTCGCTAAACCACTCACGCCCAAAGGGCTGGTGGGATTGGTTTGCTTTCCGTAGAGCCGTTCAAGTGAATTGGGTGAAGTGATCGAGGTGGACACGATGTGCCCTTGGTGTGTTGGTAAACTCTTGTCTCGATCGGTGCCTGCTTGGCAATTGCAGCATGTTTTTCTCGAAGACTCGATGGTGCACCTGTCTGATGGAGCTGTATGCGATTCCCTAGTGAGGCTTGTGAGTTCTGCGAACTGTTCTACGAACCTCGAAACGCTAGGGCCCGAAGCCAGCGGCTTTCTCTATCATTGCCAACGGGCAGTGGCCCATGGTGAGGAATTGTGCTGCTGTTCTTGTCAGATTCTGCCGAGCGCGGTCTGCGCGAGGACGAGGGCCCTGTCGTGCATCGTCATTTCCTATGTTCGCGGGGTGAGAGGCCTCCGAGTTCTTCGCGCTCGCTGGTCGGGCCGACGAGCCTGCCGTGAGACTGTTTCGTGAGAGGGCGGTATGGGCCTCCGCGCGCACGGAGGGCTGGAGACCCCCGTCTGTTCCTCAGATCGTGTGGCGGCAGCCCACAGGTGCAGGAGCGGTCCCAACTGGTGCTGCTTTCTTAGACCCTTCCTCTTTCGAAGGAGGCTGGGAGGCTGGGGCTGTGGCGGGGCGGGCGGTCGTCACGCTGCCCTCCGCTGGCCCCTTTGGGGTCGAGGACGTTGTATACAGTCTCTGCGCTGGGCCAGTCAGAGGTATCGATTCTGTCGAGCTGCAGGCACATGTCGAGCTTTTGTATCCTTCGGGCAGTCACCGACAGTATGTTTGTGTTTCAAGGCGTGTGCGAACGTGGCTCAGAGAGGATCATGGCACACGGAAAGAGTTCCGGATGCGTCTCGAGGATTTCGGAGGCTTTGGGTCTCAGGGGTTAGTGGCGTGAAAGGTAACTTCGCATCTGACCTTCGAGGCTGTGAACAGAGAGGCGATTTCCAGACGGGCCCGCCTCAGGAATCACCAAGCGGACGTCTGGGCGAAGTTTAACACGGCCAGAGCCAGGTTTTCTGAAGAGTGCGAGCTGAAGTGGAAGAAATCTGCTGTGCTGATCGAGAGAGGTCTGGCACTGGCTTGGCACCATCGGACAAGCCGTGAATAATACCGATTCTGTTCTTGCGAGTCGTTTTGCGAGAACGATTCAACCTCGGCTTGCGCCTCCGCGTAATGCGATTTTCGAGTATGATTGGCACGGCCCGCACGGCCCCGATGGACAGCAGTGGTGTTTGAGGTGCAGGGTCTCGAAGCTTGGGCAAACCCAGTCCCCGATTTCTGTTGCCTTGCGAGCCGCCGAGGCTTCCCGCGTGATCGTCCAGGGCGGCGGTCATTGCACAGGCTTGTGAGGCTTGAGACAGCACCCAGTGGGTGGATACAGACCAGTCCAGCTGTTGCGTGCATGCGTTGTGGAGTGTTCTGCTCGCGGCAGATCAAGGGCTTGCAGGCGCCCTGCAAGAAGCCAGCGGCGCACGGCCAACGCTCCCTGCGGAGGCTGGAGCAATGCCTCCTCCCAGGATTGTCAGAGAGGATCCCCGTGATAGCCACCGAGGTCCTTCTTGTTTGATTCAGCCGAGGTGGCGTTCAACTGTGTGGCCCCCAGAACGGGGCTGTCGCCGCTTCGGGAGGAGGAGGAGGAGGAGGAGGAGGAGGAGGAGGAGGAGGAGGACAAGGAGTCCTGAGGTCCGTGGCATAATTTGTTCGCCCACTTCGCCTACGTCGGCGCCGTTGTCTCTCTGACAGAACGCAACGAGCGCAGCCCTGATGTCTGGCCCACGTCAAAAAATCCCGAGGTCGCCGTTCTCGGGCCGCCGTGCCCTCCCTGGGCGCCGCCCCCGTCACGAACGGCTCGGGACGAAGAGCCTCGACCCGGGGAAAGCCCCGAGGTCCAGAACCCAGTTTCTGCAGCCGGCGGCGAAAGCCGAACTCTACCCTCGCCGATCAACGCTCGGCGGCGACGATAAGGGCGAATAGCCCAGGGGCGGGCATTACACGTATTCGCCCGGGAGCCTTGTCGAAGACATAGATCATCGGCGCCCCTGGATACATGCATTGCTCTCCCCTGGGCTATTCGCCCCTATTGTCGCCTCTGAAGCGATTCAGGCAACTTGATGGGCGGCGGGGGTAGGGTTCGGAAATCGCCGAAGACGTGGCGGAATTCCGAGCCCTACTCCCGCCGCCAGTCGATTCAGGAGAATCGATGGTTGGTGGGGTCTCAACCTACTTGGGACTCCTTCCTTTACTTTAGCGCGGGAAGCTCGGTATACCATATCTTCTGTCCGCGATCGGGTGCGCTTGTCCCAGGGCGACTAGGAAGTCCCGGAAGCGTAAATGTTAATGCAATGCCGTGCTTTGCAGGCTCGGGCCCATAGGTTGGCACGCCTCTGACGGCTTGGCCATTGTGCACTTCCTTGCCGCCCGGCGAATCTGCTTGGGCATTTAATGTTTGCCGGTGCTTCTCCGGTGGAGGAGCCATGGGCAACGGCTTCCAGCAGTTGGGCACTGATGGACTGTAGTGTTGGAGGGGCTTGGTGGCGTTGTGGTTGGGGGGAAGAAAAAAAAATGCCGTGCTTCGCCCGCTAATTGATGATTGCGTGCAGGGACAGTCGGCAGCGGCGAGTGATGCCCAACAGGGCAGCAGCAGTGGAGGCGGAGGTCAGCACGCGGCAGGGCTGTGTGCAGAGGCGGAGGTCAGCAGCGACTGGCGGTGAGCAGCATTGCAGGTGGCGCTGCGCGCGGAGGATGTCTGGCCGGCTGAGCTCACATAGTTCCCACAAGAGTCCTCGCTGCCCGCGGCGCGCTCTACATCGCTGGCGCGAGTCTCCACGCAGGACAAGGGCAGCCTTAGGTTCTTCGAGGCGGCAGTCGTAAGTTCTCGAGGTGGAGAACCTATGCTCGGTCCCAGCTGTCGGGCTCCCGACGGGGGTACTGCCCGGGTGGTGGCGCGGGTCGGGCCGAGGACAGCGCCCGAAACGACCCTCCTGCAGAGGGGGGCTGTATCGCGTGGCAGCCGGCGGGCTCCCGCGGACCCGGCCCCCAGGGGTCGGGCAGGGTGGGGCGGGCTTGTCTTGGGGCTCGTTTGCTTGGATTTTTGCCTACATCAGATCTTGGGCTTGAGGTCTTGGTCTTTATCTTGGTCTTGATCTTGGTGATCTTGCCTTGATCTTGGTCGTTTCGCCATGATGTCCTGGGCCACATCCAGGGACATCCGACGTCTTGACCTTCTCAATGCAAGGTCCCCACAAGTCCCGCCCAGGGACGGCTTCGCATCCAGAGTCATTTTTGTTTAACGGTCCTGGGGCAACGAACAACCTCCGTGGTGAAATATTCAATTTTTCGATACGTTGGAGCTCTGGGTCTCCATCTCTGGACACAGTTTTTGTATCCCCTGGCGATAACGGGCGTGACCAGGGGGGTGGGTGGGCGGGCCTGGTCACGGGCGTTGTCTGGAATTGGGAAGATGGGCTCCTTCAAATTGGGGAGCATGTCTGTGGTCAGGCTCCACCTGCTCTGCTGCCGTGGTGTCCGCGACCGCTTCGGGACAGCCGCCTGGGGCTCTGTCTGGGCAGCAGGGCGCTTGGGTCCTGGGATGCGCAATGCCCCCCTCTGGCTGTCCGTCCCCGGGGCGGCGGGGGCCCGCGGAGTCCGCACCGAAGTTCTGCGCTGCACTGCCCGCGAGCTATCTCCGCTGGGGGGGGGGGGCAGGGGGCCGCGAGGGAAAGGCAGGAGCGATGGGGCCCAACGTCGGCGGGAGCGCAGGCGCGTCTGGGGGGCTGGCCAGACGGGGGGAGGTCGAAAACGAGGAGACGGCACAATCACGAAGCTCTCGGAGGTCCGCGCGGACCGTCGAACCCTTCTGTCTGTTTTTGTTATATCCTCTTCGTCTTCGTCTTCTATTTTTGTTTCTTAGCTTTCTCTTCTTCTTCTTTTTCTTCTTCTTCTTCGTCTTCTTCTTCTTCTTCGTCTTCTTCTAGGAGGGCCCTGGCGCAGGTCAGGCAGCGGGTGGCAGGGCGGGAGGGGGGGAAGGGTAGAACGTCCAGCATGGCTAAGCCCGACGCCCGCTGGCCACCGAATCTGCCCCTGGTCACACACAGGGCCAGCCTGCCTCCAGCACGCAGGGGCGGCGCGGGCGTGCTGTGCAGGCGTCCCTTGGCTGGAGCCGAGAACGGTGGAGAGGTTCGGGACTCGCGGAGGCCCGCGTCGGTCCCCCGAGCCACCCTGGGGACTGAAACAGGTGCACCGTTGGAAATCTGGGTCTGCCCTTCTGTCGGCATCACCCAATTATGCTGTGTGCGTGGGGCCTCCAGGAGCGACGCGCGAGCTCAGACCTCTTGCACTATGTGCTCACAGGCTTGCGCTTTCTGGCCAATCCGCCAGGGTAACGATGTACTATCATGGGTTTGTGCGATACGTTCGGTTCGGACGTGCGCGTCCATGGGGGGTTGCATCGTGCTTTTAGCTGCCTTGACACGCCCGTTTTCGAAACGCAGCACGTACCGTGTTCAACACGTCAGCGTTGACACGTTGTGTGTTGGCTCCACGTGTTGGCCCACGTCTTCGCGAAGGTGCCGCGCCAGGCGTACGTCTTCAATCTGCGTGTTGAGCTCCGTGCCAACTGCGTGTTGTGTGTTGCGTATCGTGGCGGCCAAGATCGTACTAGCGCGTCCTTTGCGTCCCATTCTGCCCCGCTCCTCCGCTGGCTGGCCCGCCCCACGCGCGCAGGCGGTGGAGGCGCCGGTGCAGCCCAAGGCCGCTCGAGCCGAGCCTCCGGCGCAGCCCAGGGCCGCTCGAGCCGAGGCGCCGGCGCAGCCGCGGGCGTCTCGTGCCGAGGCGCCGCGGCCTGCCCGGGGCAGGGGGGCCCAGGCATGTGGTGCTTTTCTTGAGCATTGCTCTGCCGATCGGCGCAGGCCCTCGCTCCCCCCCCCCCTGGAGTAGACCTTGGCTGTTTTTGGCGCCTGTTTCAAGCAGGTGGGGTCTCCCCCGCAGGACGCACTGCTACAAACAGTCGCGCTAAGCAGAGGTCCGGAGCCAGAACCCTCCCCTCCCCCCACTGTCGAAACGCCGGCCTACCACATGGGGTTGGAGTAGATGGGGTCGGAGGATCGTCCCCCGCTGCCGATGCACCGACGATGTGGCTCGATGTGGAGCCAGAATTGATCCACGCCGATGGCGCCGATGCATCGCCGACAGCTCCAATGCATCGCCGATGCATCGGTGATGTTTTGGCGGCCCTCCTCCGAATTATCAAAAGCCGGCATTCACATAATTTCTCGGAGCTCCGCGCGGATTTCTACGATCGGCGCTGCGACCCCCCTGGCGGCGCCTCTGGCGCCACCCCCGGCGCGCTCCGCGCGTCAGGGATGGGGGCCTGGTGCAGACCGAAGAAATCCGCGCGGAGCTCCGACAGCTCATGTTTATGCTGTTTTTTCTTCCTCTATTCCTCGGGCAGGGAGGTCCAGGCATCCAACGTCTCGGCCAACAGCGAGGCGGAGGTGCTTCGTCGTCTTCGGTCTGTCGCGTCCCTCGCCGGGCCCTAGGGCTGTTAACACAACGACTCAGGACCACAATGCGGCCCCGGGGAAAGGGTCGGAACTTCCAGGGGACGTCGGGTCTCTGGGGAGGCGAGGGGATCTGTCACCCGCCCCCCTTCCCCTGCCCCCTATCCAGATCCAGCCCGAGCGAGGCAGCTTTTCTCCTGCATGCTGTGTTCAGCGCAGAGGATTTCAAAAAGGTGGCTGTTTGTTGCTCGAGTCTGAACGTTTTGATTTGTTTCGTTTTTTTGTTGTCAAATGCTGCTCCTGCCGCAGCGTTGGCCTTGTTTCAGGATCGGGGCATTGCTCCGATAGTGTATAATGGTGCTCTCTCCCCTTGCACCACATAGGAGAGATATCCAGAGCATCTGGCGCTCGAGCCGAGACGGAATGGTTGCTGCGTGCTCGTCATAACTTTGGTCGCCTCTTTTCCTGGTGTGCCTGGCTGCAGCCCGTGAATGCTCTGATCGGCTTTTACCTCGACGAGCTTGGTTCTGAGTGGCTCCTAGGAGGAGGCTCCAGCAGGCATTGTGGATTCAGCACTCACGTGGGTTTTGGGGATCTCCGACAGCGGGGGATGTCTGAGGGAACCATACGTATACTTGCCAAGTCATCCTTGCGACGGGCTTTCCGTCTCGAAGACGGACGCTGGCGATCTCAACTGCGTGCCAGGCAGGGCGTCTCGTCATGGAGCGGAGTGTCCGTCCACGTGTATGCCGCGAGCACGGGCCTCATCGGGCACACATTCGGGGTCTTGGTAGTATGCTTTTGCCGACTGTAGGATTGACCTGGGGGGGACCAACGGGAAAGACTGGCGTTTCAGGGGGCGGCGAACACATGTACGTTAAGGCGCCTTCACAGCGCAGGTCGGGAAGGTTGCAGCCTGCTTCGTGGTCTTGTTCTGCAGTCCCCATGCTTTGGTCACGTGCGTTTTGAGACGGGCATTCTGTCGGCCAGTGAGCTGCGAGGTGTCGGTGGGGTCCAGACAGTACATTTTCTGAGACTCAGTCTCTCGGCCGCCATTTTCTGCTTTGCCCCAGACGTTGCTTGCACTCAGGGGTTCTTGCCTCGGTTCCTACATAATTGGTTGGGAGTTTGGGGTTTTCGCGAAGTTGCGGCCCGTGGGCGCCTCGTGGGCGCCCCCCGTGCGCTGTCTGGGGGTTCCACTCCTCCTCCCCCTCCCCCTCCCCCTCCTCCTCCTCCTCCTCCTCGTCTCCTCCCCTCCTCCTCCTCCTCTCCTCCTCCTTCCTCCTCCTCCTCCTCCTCCGGGTTCACCGGGGCCTCGGAAAATCAGAGACTCCCGACGGGGCGAAGACCTGGGAGGGGAGGAGGAGGAGGAGTAGGAGGAGGAGGAGGAGGAGGAGGAGGAGGAGGAGGAGGAGGAGGAGGAGGAGGAGGAGGAGGTGCCCCGCGGAAGTCTCTGATTCTCCGAGGCCCCCGTGAGCCCGCGGAAATCTTGGGACGCTTTCGACGGTTGACCAGATCAACGACAGGTGTGCCGCTGCATCTCTTATGGCCTGTCTTCTTACTGGAAGTGCCCGCTGTGGCTTGCACCACACGGCCTGCACCACTTAGCTTGCACAGCGTAGATTGCACCACCTAGGTGGCACATCCAGAGTGCAAGGATTGATAGTTTGGGGTCACGCTGGCAAACAATTCTGGATGAACTCCGGGAGAGGCTCGCGAGAGGTTGCGCCTAGCTGCTGGAACTACGGCTCTCCCCCTTCTGACTCCCTTCTCGTCGTCCTCCTCCCCCTTTTCGTTCTCCTCGTAGTCCTCCTCCTCATCCTGCTTCTCCCTCCTCCTGTCTCCATCTTTCTGACTCCTGCCGCCCCACTTCCTCCCCCCTCCCTCTCGTAGTGATCGTCGTGGTCGTCGCCAGCGTCATCGTGAGCGCTGTGAGGCGTTGTGGTCGTTTTTCGTCGTGGTCGTGGCCGTGGTTGTCGTCGTGGTCGTGGTCGTGGTCGTGGTCGTGGTCGTGGTCATCGTGGTCATCGTCGTCGTCGTTGTCGTCGTCGTCGTCGTCGTCGTCGTCGTCGTCGTAGTCGTCGTGGTCGTCGGCGTCGTCGTCGTCGTCGTCGTGGTGGTGGTGGTCGTCGTCGTGGTCGTGGTCGTCGTCGTGGTCGTGGTCGTGGTCGTGGTTGCTGTCGTGGTCGTGATCGTGGCCGTCGTCGTCGTCGTCGTCGTCGTCGTCGTCGTCGTCGTCGTCGTCGTCGTGGTCCTTATCGTCGTCGTCGTCGTCGTCGTCGTCGTCGTCATCGTCGTCGTCGTCGTCGTCGTCGTCGTGGTCGTCGTGGTCGTCGTGGTCGTCGTCGTCGTCGTCGTCGTCGTCGTCGTCGTCGTCGTCGTCAACGTCGTCGTGGTCGTCGTCGTGATCGTGGTCGTCGTCTTCGTCGTCGTCGTCGTCGTCGTCGTGGCGGTCGTTGTCGTGATCGTGATCGTGGTCGTCGTCGTCGTCTTCGTCGTCGTCGTCGTCATCGTCGTCGTGGTCGTGGTCGTGGTCGTGGTCGTCGTTGTGGTCGTGATCGTGGGCGTCGTCGTGGTCGTCGTGGTCGTCGTCGTCGTCGTCGTCGTCGTCGTCGTCGTCGTAGTCGTCGTGATTGTCGTTGTTGTCGTCGTCGTCGTCGTCGTCGTCGTCGTCGTCGTCGTGGGCGTCGTGGTGGTCGTTTGCCCCGCGCGCAGGCGGACGACAGGCCTCGGAAGCCGCGTGAGCGTACGCCTGAGGCCAGGCGCCCCGCGGAGAGGGAGCCCCGCCCGCGGGAGGCGGCAGACGCCGCGCGGCCTCGCGAGCCCAAGGCCGTTGCCGTCCCCGCCGTCGTCGCTGCTCGCCTTCCGCGGTCTCGGTCGTCGCCGTCGTCGCTGCCGCCGTCGTCGTCGCCAGTGCTCAAAGGAGGAGGAGGAGGAGGAGGAGGAGGAGGAGGAGGAGGAGGAGGAGGAATCCGATGAAGCTGAGAGTGAGAAGGAGGAGGAGGTGGTGGAGGGGGAGGCGGAGGCGAAGGAGGAGGAGGAGGAGGAGGAGGAGGAGGAGGAGGAGGAGGAGGAGGAGGATAATAATGATGATCAGGAGAAAGAGGTGGATGAGGATGAGGAGGAGGAGGAGGAGGAGGAGGACGAGGAGGAAGAGGATGAGCAGGAGGGGGAGGGTGAGGAGCCTGCCTCTAGCGGCCGCGCCCTCCCTCTCCCCCTGCGCCCCTGGCCCTCGAGGAGTCTCCCCGCAACGAGGCGCTGCCGGGCATCGAGCGCCGCATGGAGGAGCGACCGAGTTTGGGGGGGGAGGTAGCGGGGACACGCATCGCCTCGGCCCTTCTCCAGTGTCTCTGCCTCCATGTTCAGCGCTCCAGACGGGATCTCTCCTCTTCGACGCATCTTCGCCCTCGGCGGAAAAAGCGGCGGAAGCGCGGCGGAAGCAAGACAGGACCAGCTCCGCCGGCGGAAGCCGGCCGAAGGCCGACGGAATGCGGCGGAAGGACAAGCGAGAGACGCACGCCAGAGTCGGTCCCTTCCGCCTCCGTAGGCGAGCGTCGGCCTGACGCCCCCCCTTCGCTGTCGCGACCGACGGGCCCCCCTTCGCTGGCCGTTCGGTCGGTCGCGACGAGAGCGCAGGAGGCGCACCGAGACGGCCATCGGACGCTATGATTTGATTCGGGCGCGGCCCCAGAAGTCCCGACCCCGTCCCCAGGGCCAGACTTTCGCCCAGATTCATTTTTGACTGCACCGGGGCCCGAGAACGGGCCCCAGAGGCCGCAATCGAGGATACACGTTTGGGCTGCAAGAAACATATCGTCGAATATCTGGGCGCGTGCCAACAAATTCTGAACGTTTTGTGTATCTCCATCGGCCCATCCAGACACCATACCCAGCGGAGCCGCCCTGAACTCTTACAGGTCTCCTGGGGCGTCTTGGGCCCCTTGCGGTTCCTGGAGTGCTCTTGGAGCGCTCTTGGGGCCGTTTTGAGGCCGTCTTGAAGCCCTCCTGAGCCCCCGTTGGAGTCATCTTGGAGTCATTCTGAGGCTTGCCAAACCCGAAGAGGATTGAGGAAACCTAGGAGAAATTTTGGGAATCTAGGACGCCGAAGAAATGGTATGACAATTCAAATCGGGGAAATGGGGGAACTCGAGGAAACGTATGAGAACTATGACTACCAGAGAGAATCGATGATCATCGATGAGGATCCGGGAAGTCGCCCGAGATCCCACGAAGTTCTCGCCCGCCTCGCAGGAGCGGCGGCGCGAGGAGGAGGAGGCGCTGGCCGAGCAGCGCGCGAGGGCCGCGGAGAAGCTGCGCCGGCTCGACGAGAGGGCTGCCGAGAGGAGGGCCGAGGAGCGCACGGAGCGACGCTGGCGGCGGCAACGCCGACGGCGACCTTCCCAGATGTCCGACGAGTTTTTTTGGTTGTTGTACCATTTATTTTGATGTGTGTGCGTGTCAGTGAGTGCGTTGTTTCTGGCGTGCTTTTGTTTTCAGATGTCCGACATTCGTTTCTCCAGACGTCCAATGATTTTTTCCGGACGCGCACGCATGTCCGAGGTAGTGGCTCAGGTGCTCGACGTTCCCAGATGTCCGATGCTCCCAGATTCCCGACGTTTTTTTACATGTCCGACGTTGCCAGATGTTTGACTTTCCCAGATGTCCGAAGACATGTCTTCTTTGATTCCGCTATTTTTCCTCGATCGCGGCCTCCAGGGGTTGGGTTCCCTTGTCCCCAGACAGTGCTTGCTCTCAGGGGTTCTATTTCTTTCTAAGTAGCTGGGCCTGATTGTCGGTCTGGTGGCTATGTTGTCGCCGTCGCCGCCCCGTCGCCGCCTCGTCGCTGCCCGTCGTTTGGGCTTGATTGTCGGTATGGTGGCTATGTTGTCTCAGTTGCTGTCCCGTCGCCGCCTCGTCGCGGCCTTGCATACTTGGACCACATAGATGACACCACATTGATTGCACCACGTAGGCTGCACCACATATATTGCGCCACATAGTTTGCTCTAAATAGGTTGCATAATATAGATCGCAACCCATAGAACATTGCACAACCTATGTCGCACCGCATGTGGTGCACCACATGGATCGCACAGCATAGATGTCACAACATGGACTGTACCACATCGATTGCACCACATCTATTCTCCCGTCTAAGAAGGACTTCGGATCTACCCTCCCAGGGTTATTCCCCCCCCCACTGTGGTTGTGCTCCCCCGTGACTGGGGACGTGCATTTTAATTATGTTTCTGCCCTATCGTCCGTTCTAAATGTGAGTTCGTACCATCCCAGCGAAGTTAGGTTCGATCCCCTACCCATCATCCTCTTCGAATAAAGCTAAGCGCGCGTTTGTTGACCAACAATCAGCAGTTATCAAGAGCTCTTTGCGACCAATGAAGCAATGTCCACACGCGCGCGTCGTCGCGCGCGCATGCCGCAATCCTTCGGAAACCTCAGGTTCCGTGAGGGTTTCAGCATCGAGTGCCCCGAAACATAGAAGCACCAATGGTTTTGCAGCAAGGGTTTTCTAAACAAGTCTCCGCGCGCGCTCTTGCGAATTCGCAAGACACCATCAAATGCGACCAAGCGGGCCTCTCGCGCGCGCATGCCGAAATCATTCGGACGCTCTTTGCACGCGTGCTGGGGGGGCCACGATCCCTGTCAAATGGTGCCATGCGGGCCAGTCGCACGCATTGGCCGCGCGCGCATGTCGAAATCTTTCCCAAACCTTCGTCGCCGACATGTGGACACCATCCATCATCGTCATCGGCGTGGTCAGCATCGGCGCCGTCTTTGGCCTCGCCGTCGTCATTTTCATCGCTGCCACCAGCATGGCTACGATCATCATCGTGTCTGCCGCTGTTGACGTCGCCATGATACGGCGTTTGCCCGAAGCACCGACTCGCACTGAAGTGCCCGCGCGTTTGCGCAGCTGGCGAGACGCGCTGGGAAGTGCCCAGCGGTCAGCGCCACCGCTGGCGCGTCGGTCGCGCCAGACTAGCTGGCCGTTCTGCACTCGCGCCTGCGCGTGCCAGCGCGACCGCAGCGATGCGCCAGCCAGCGCCAAGCAATAGTCGCAATTGTCGCAGCATGGGTTTTGCAAAACAAGTTGTGGGTGGATGGGTGGGATGACTGCCCAATCAGTGGAGTTGACAGTTTGAAGTTGGGCAGGGTGAGTTGCACGGCATACATATATTCTCCTGTCTAAAAGAGTAATAGGACTGACCCCCCCAGAATTATCAGTTTTCCTTTTTCGTAGTGCAGTTTTACCATGATTCTGCCATATCGTCCGTTCTAAGTGTGAACTCGCACCACGCCAGCCAGGCCGGTACCGCCCCCTTCATCCTCCGCAGAGAATGCTATGCGCGCGCATTCGTTTATTACAAATCATGAGTTTCCAGAATTTCATGCAGCGAAACAACGGGACGACGTGCACACGCGCGTGTCGTCGCGCGCGGATGCCGAAATTCTTCAAGCACGCAGGTCTCGTGAGGATTTCAAAATCGAATGTCCCGAAACATAATATACATAGGTGGTTTTGCAACATCAGTTTTCAAACCATGCCTGCGCTCGCACTCTTGCGCATTCTTAAGAAAACTAGTTCGGTCAAACGGGTCCCTCGCGCTTCATGTCGGAATCATTAGAACGCCCTTGCGCGCGTGCTGGGGGGGGGGGGGGGCACGATCCGTGTGAAATAATACCAGGCGGGCCATTCTCGCGCGTCGGCCGCGCGCACATGTTTGAACTCCATCCAAAACCTTCGTCACCGACGCGAAGACGCTGTCATCGTCGTCGGCGTGATCAGCATCGGCGCCGTCACTGGCTTTGCCGACGTCGTTGTCACCATCGTCATCAGCATCGCTTGCATCATCAACGCGTCTACCGTTGTCGGCGTTGCCATGATACCGCGCCCGCCCAAGTGGCCGATTTGCATTGAGGTGCCAATGGGAAGTGCCCAGCGGGCAGCGCCACCGCGCCCGCGTCGGCCGCGCCAAAGTAGCTGGCCGCTGCGAGCGCGAGCATGCGCGGGTTAGTGTGGCCGCATATATGCACAAGCCAACGCCAAGCAGTCATCGCAATTGCCGCCGCATAGGTTTTACAAACCCACTTGCGGATGGGTGGGTGGGGTGATTGCGCGAACAGTGGAGTGGACACCTCGCTGCGAACAAAAAACCATTGCATGGCATAGAGCGCACCATATTGCTTGCACGCCGTGGGCCGTACAACTTAGATGGCGCACCATTGGTTGCACCGCATGTCTTGCACAGTACAGATCGCACAACATCCATCGCACATCACAAATTGAACAACACAGATCGCACTACGTTTATTGCACCACATACGTTGCTTCTTCCGGATACCACGCGTAGTTTGTAGAGCATACGCGCACATGTATGTATGTATGTATGTATGTATGTATGTATGTATGTATGTGTGTGTGTATGTATGTATGTATGTATGTACAGGTATATATATATGCATATATATATATATATATATATATATATATATATATATATATTGTATATATAAGTATATAAATTTATAGTTTGCCCTACATAGACTGCACACCGTGAATTTCTGGATATTTATGCCTTTGATCCACGCTGGCTAACCAATTTGTTTGAAGCACTGGGCGGGCAGATGCGGGCTGCATGCGTATGGCGTGCCTGTGGGGCCGTTGGGCGTGCGTAGGAACAGTACGTTCGCATCCTGTTGAGCATGCTCAAACGAGGTTAGAGGGGTCGTTTGGAGTATGCTCGTTTTGAATACTCCTGAACGGATGTAGCGTGGTGCTTTCTTTAGACGAGAGCCAAAGGAACATCAACCCTGGGGCCTGTTATCTGGCCCTGGGGTCATCAAGCCTGGATGCAGGACGATGAGCTACCCTTGTGGCAGGGGCCGGAGCCTTTGGGGCCGCGCATTAGAAAATGACATCGTCGGATGTCAGGATTTTCGTCGGTTCCAGGAGTTTTTCTGCGTGCAGATGCGTTCCAGCAGCTGCGCTTCGCCGAGGGCGCTCCAGGGGGTGCCAGGATCTTCTCGCATGGCCGCTGGAGCCCCGTGCTTTGCCCTGAAAGCCCGACGAAGGAGGAGGACTAGGAGGAGGAGAAAGAGGTGGCAAAGGAGGAGGAGGAGGAGGAGGAGGAAGAGGAGGAGGAGGAGGAGGAGGAGGAGGAGGAGGAGGAGGAGGAGGAGGAGGAGGAGGAACAACGGGGAGGACTTGGATGTGGAGGAGGGTGTGGAGGGTGTGGAGGGTGTGGAGGAGGAGGAGGAGGAGGAGGAGGAGGAGAGGAGGAGGGAGGAGGAGGAGGAGGAGGAGGAGGAGGGAGGAGGAGGAGGAGGAGGGAAGGAGGAGGAGGAGAGGAGGAGGAGGAGGAGGAGGAGGAGGGGAGGAGGTGGAGGAGGTGGAGGAGGAGGAGGAGGAGGAGGAAAAGGAGGAGGTGGAAGACGAGGAGGAGGATGAGGATGAGGCTTGTGGAGGAGGATAACGTGGAGCAGGAGGACGCGACGAGGAGGAGGAGGAGGAGGAGGAGGAGGAGGAGGAGAAGGAGGAGGAGATGGAGGAGGACGAGGAGGAGGAGGAACAACAAAAAGAGAGGTCTTGGAGGTGGAGGAGGATGTGGAGGAGGAGGAGGAGGACGAGGAGGAGGAGGAGGAAGAGGAGGAGGAGGAGGAGGAGAAGGATTAGGATGAGGATTGAGGATGATAATTGTGGAGGAGGAGGGTAACGTGGAAGAGGAGGACGCGAGGATGCGCATGAGGAGGAGGAAGAGGATCAGGAGGAGGAGGAAGAGGAGGAGGAGGAGGAGGAGCATGAGGATTGCGGATGATAATTGTGGAGGAAGAATATGACGTGGAGGAGGAGGAGGACGCCAGAAGGAGGAGGAGGAGGAGGAAAAGGAAAAGGAGGAGGATGAGGAGGATGACCAGTGCAAGCCTACGACTCATCAGCGGTGTTGGAGTGCACCCTCCCTCCGTGCTCCCTCCTCGTAGGCCCCATAGAAGGCTTCATTTCGACTGAGAGAAGTACCCCGTTGGGAGAAAACCGTTGAACCAACACATCGTTTTCGGGCCCCCAACGCCACGAATCAACTTGAGTGTTGCGTCGTGACGATCCTGACTCGTGCCAGGGCACCATTCTTTGGACTTCAACACTGGGAATCAGCGCAGCTGTTGCGCTCTGGCCGTCCTGAATCGTTCTAGCTTTTTTAATGCTGGCCAATGGAACCCGTGATATTCTGGCAACTGTTTAAGACGAGAGTGTGCGGGCTAAAGCGAGAACCACATGTTGAACATAAACCGCCGTCAATCCGTGAAGTTGGTGCGTTTGTTAAACGAATGTGCGCGGC